TTGTGCTAATCCAACCAAATCATCTCCGGTGGTACCTTGGGAATAACGTTAGAGCTCTCTGGCGGCTGGTGATCTGTTAATTAGCATTGCTATATTCATTGGTGGCCTGAGGTCCCATCATCGGGCCTATCAGATGTAACCAGTTACATCATCTCGGGGACCCCAGGCCTTCTGTGTTTCTCTTGTGATGGGGCCCATGGGCTTTGAAAAGGAAGGTTGACACGGCGTTTATCTAGCAAGATGTTCCTAATCTGAGGCTCTTGACTCCATAAAGACTCAAAAGTTATTTCAAAAAAAAATTTTTTTTTCTGGATTGTAACGTTTGCTGTATTTTCAAAAGCAGTTGCTGATCCAAGATGCTTTAGAGCCACTGATTAGAAGACTTCAGGGCCTTTCGCGAAACAGGGGAGGAGAACAGACCCTGGGGACCAGGGTCTTACCCAGGGTTTGCTGGTGGTTTCTGGGCTTGTGCCTGCAGGACCTGCGTCTGCTTTTCTCCAGCATATGATGTATTGTGACAAGAATCACGTCCCCTGTTTTGGGAACAGGTAACCAAGGAAGCAGATGCATCAGATAAGGTCACCTGGTGACTCAGTGCGAAAGGTGAGCCTGGGACTGCTCCCCCTGTTCCACATGGGCCTCACTCTCCAATGCAGAGATGTGGCGCCTTTGCCTCCCTGCAAAGGGAGGACAATGACAGGCCGGGCCCCTGCAGCCGGCTCTATGTGGATTCTTAGATGCTTGATTCTGTTTTATCCCTTTGCACTCGGATGTCGAGTGTGGATAATGTCGAGTGGATAATGCGAAAACATCAAGCTAGTGCAAAAGGTTAATAATTTTTTTTTAAAATGATGGCCAGCTTTTTTTCTAATGGCAAAAGTTGTTTTCTTTCTACCTCTCCAAAAGAATTACAGCCCTGTGTTGTTCTAGGCTTGATGTCGGTAAATATTTTCTCCTTACAGCAGCTTTAGACTTAGAAATAGTAGGTCCGATGGGTTAAGAAATGCCGGCCTCTTATGGAGCCTGCTCAGGTTTGTCAGCAAGCAGGGATTCAGATTGATGGCAGATACCAGCTTTCCCGGGAGCCTTCCTGCCCTCTGGTGTCCTGCGGTGGGAGCTCACCAGTCCCCCTCTGCAGCCTTCTCGCTGCAGTGCCTGCTTCTGCTACCCTCTGCGAGCAGGTCAACCCCTTCTCCCACCCCCGACTCTATCCCCCGTCACCCATGGGTCCTGGTTAAGAGTGTGGCTTCTGGAGACAAAAGGACCTGAGTCGACTCCTGAATCCACCATAGGCTGGCTGTGTGACCCAGGACGAGTTACTCCACCTCTCTGTTCTTCATTTTCCTCATGTGTTAAAACGCATTAACCTCTACTTCATGGCGTTCGTAAGGATTGAGGATTAATCGATAAGTTCCCGACGTCACCTCTTAGCCAGCGTCACTGTTGTTTTTGATTCCTGAGTGTGACATTAACTGCTTCCGCCCTTCTTCCTCCTCTTTGCCAAACTCTACTTCAAAGGTGCCCGAACCTTTCCTATTCCAAGAAATCTCACAGCGTTCCTGTCCCTCTGGGTTACCCCACACGCCCCACGACGCGCTTGGCAGTTGCCCCCGCTGACTGGTCCTCCTTCGCCCACACGCTGGCGTTTTGCTTGCTGGATGTGGTGGTTTAAGTAGCCTCACCAGGAATAGCAAGAAGATGCATTGCTCACGGCACATCCATGCATCGTGCCCTGTGATGATGCATCTGGACTGATCTTCCTTGTTGCAGACTCATTAGTGGTTGTCACCAAATGGTGGCTTGTTTAAGTCTCCCAAGTAGTAGTAAGGCATTGACACCTCCGTTCCCCACCAGGGAAAGGCACTGGCGCCCGTTTTCACTCGCTGGGACCTGAGGTCGGGCATGCATTTTTACCCTGGTTAATAACTCTTTATCCTTCTTGATGTTTCTGTTAAACACAAGCCCGGCGCTAGAATTTGCTCACATGCCTCCCAGCTCTGTCACTCTGTGCGTTATCTGTAGGAGATTCAGAGTAGGATCCTTTTGTGACACTAGCGAAAACAAGCAAAAACCCTCAGTGATCGTTAGTGTGTGCATTTCCACCCCTTAGGTTTAAAGGAATTTGTGACTTCCGTGTCTGTCCTCTCTCAAATTATAAAATCCCCAAGGGAAGAAGATTTTCCTTTTGGCCCTTATCAACTCCCACTGGAGAGCATTTTTAGGCCAGGCCTGTGCACTCGGGCGGGACACGAGGACATCAGTTATGTTTATTGACTAATCCCGGAAAGGTGAGTGCCCTCCACCACGACCAGCTCAGTTCGTGGACGGCATTCGGGACTGCTTTGCTCACATCTTTGGTGTTTGTGGGCTTGAAATCCCGGGTTTTTAAATTCAGTTTCCCAGCTCGCATCTGCAGCCTGAGCTATACAGATATTGTCAACTTAAAAAGGGTGTAAGAAGTCCCCTCCATGTGTATACAGAGACATACACACATGCATACATATGCGAAGGCTGTCCAATAGCTCAGTCAGGAAAGATGGTACCAGGTAGCAGTCCTGTGTTCCCACATGCATGCATGTGCACACACACACACACACACACACACACACACACACACACATACAGTGTGGATAACACAGAGTGAGTATTGAGCTTCATCTCATGTAGATAGTGTCTGGCAGGAGTTGCTGTCCAACTGAGACAGTTGCATTCTGCAGAGGCCGGTTTTGTGCATCACAGCTACTTGACCGTTAGAGGGCTTGTCATCCTTGCATTGTGGAGGGTCAGCCAGAGGCCCCCTTTTTCCCAATGAAGCTGAGATTCAGTTGGGAGCTGGGCTGGAGTGAGTCTGCTGTGCTTTGGCACTTTCTTGCTCTGGAAGCCGTACTTGCGTGATCTGAGTAAACAAATACAAAATGATTTTCAAGAGAAGAGGTTTTTTTTTTTTTTCTTTTCCTGTTTTTGAAATCCAAAACGGTATTCACTTAGGCAGTTCACCTGAAAGGGAATCAGAGATTCAATCAAGTGTCTGTGGTGAGATTCTAGTCTGTAGGTGGAGCGCCCACGAAGGTAAGACAGGCTCCCCTTGTCTTGTTTCACAGCAAGGCGTGAGGGGCGGCTGGACGGGAGGGGTGTGGTCAGGGAAACAGCGGAGTCCTCCACGTTGTCCCTTGTTTCTTAATTTGGCTTCAGGAAAATTTTTCTCCAACTTTTCAGCTTAGAGATGGGAGTTGTTTTTTTTTGTTTTTTTTTTTAACATGTAGAAATTTTGTAAATGGGGTAGGGAAGTAGAAATACCATGGAGAGCTCCCGCTCGTTCTTCTCACCGTTAACTTTGGTGACGTCCCCAAGCAGACCAGAGTGTGCAGAGTCTCCTGTTCCCCACAGTCGGGGGCAGGGCGGGCACCTAATTTATCATTCCAAACCAGGACACTTCTGAGAGTAAAGGGGGACACTGGTAATTCCCCTGGGATGGCAGGCCAGAACTGGGGTGCATGGTTGCCTTCCTCATAGAGGAGATCCTGAAGACGTGTTCTGGTCACCTGTCCGTGTCGTGTCAGAAGAGCAACTTTAGAGAAAATTAACTCAACAGGGTTTACTTGAGTCGGACGGGCTTCATGAATCGGGCAGCACTCAAAACCAGAAGCTCAGAGAGCTCTTACCCAAAACGTGGGCAGTGAGTTTTTGTGGCCTAAGCAGGAAATAAAGCGCAGAAGTAGCTTGGTTGGTGACAGCCAGGCGTTTGCTGTATTTGTGCATAGTCTGATCAGTTGGCTGCCGATGATTGGCTGAAGCTTGGCTGCTTGTAATCGGCTGAGACTTGGCTATATGTGTCCCCCCGAAATATACATGTAGTTAGGTTCTGGTTTGTTTACACACTAAGTTAGGTTGCAGGTTGATATGTAGGAACTCAAAGTCCAGATAGCCTCAGGCCAATAGCCTCCTGCCTGTTTAATTTAACAGACGTCTGAGTTCTGCTTAGTAGGTTCTTATTTTCTCTCCTGATAGACCCTTCTGTTTGTGCCGTCATGTGTGTCAGGTTTACTCAAGACCCACCTCCTCCAGGAAGCCTCCCCAGATCTGTCCCATGCTGTGAACTGAGGTCTGGATTCTGTACCTCACTGTTGTGCTCCTGTGTTTCAGACCCTTGCAGTTTGCCTTCATTAGGAATAAACAAATAACCAAGGGACCCACGGGTATTTAGGACAACGTGTCTCTAAGAGACAACGTCCTTCAGATATAAACTAAAGAGGTGAGATTCGCCACCTACGGTGGAGGGCCCAGGTCTCCCAGGGGAGGGAGGGAATCTGATGGGCTGAGCCTGGCATCGGAATCGGCTCCTGGGAATCAGTGTGACCAGGAGAAGTAGGGTCACATGGTGTGTCATTCCGCAGGGCAGTGGGAGAGAGGGAACATGATCCAACAATAGCAATCAGTGCCTTCAGCACTTAGTATCTTCTAAGCACTTTCCTGCATTCTCTCATTTAATCCTCATACCACCCCCCCCCCGTAAAATAGGTACGTTGTTATTCCCTTTTTTTTAAATTTTATATTTTATTTATTTTCTTTTTTTATTCCAGGAAATATTGAGCAGTTCTTAGATGTTATTCCCTTTTTATGAGTCGGGGAACTATATAGCACAGAGAGGGGAAGCACGTTGTTTAGTGCCACACAGCTGACCGGTGGCGGAGTCGGGAAGTATTACCAGGCTTAGGGGTCTGGAATCTGCGCTGCTAGCCACTGCTCAACACGCCCTATCTTAAACAGGCATTGCTAGGATATGGCATTTTCAGCTTTTTATCCTTTTTGGCCAGTGTCTACTCAGTGAATGTGTGCTGAATGAATGAACGCCTGAGCGAACGAACGAATGAACACGCAGAAAAACACACGGTCCCCAGGAAGTTGGGGGGTAGAAGCTTCTTCCTGCTGCTGCTTGCCCGAGCGCCAGCGTGCACGTGTTCAAATCGCTCTCTCTCTCCACCCCGCTCTTTTTTGCTCAGACAAGAGTGAGAACGGCGAGGCGTATCAGAGGAAGAAGGTGGCGGCCGCCGGCCTTGCGGAGAGCCCCGCTCCGCCCGCGCCCTCCCGGGGGAGCCCGGCGCAGCCCGGGGCGGGCAGCTGGAGGAGGATCGCGCTGCTCATCCTGGCCATCACCATCCACAACGTTCCAGGTGAGGTCTCGCCCTTGCCACCTGCAGGTGAAGTCACTTGTCGGTGGTGGGCTTGTCTGCCTGGCAGGGGGGGGATGGGCAGTAGCGATTCGGGTCCTTTCGGGAGCAGAGTGAAGGTAAGAGTTCGAATCTTTTTGACTTTACTTTTTGGATCACTCGTTGTAGGTTGATCATCATGTATTAACACCGTTCCAGGTAAACAGCTTCTCCTGCTTCTACCTAGGAGTTCGGTTCTTTACATATTTGAAGCCAAGTTGTTTGGATAAATTTGTAGCTTTTGCATGATTGCTGTGGAGGGTGCGTTTTATAAACACAGGATATCTCTGGTTCTGCTTATTGCCATTTGAAAATACAGTGGACCCTTGAGCAACACGAGTTCGAACTGCGCAGATCCACTTACCCTCGGATTTTCTTCCACTTCTGCCACCCCTGAGACAGCAAGGCCAACAACAACCCCTCCCCTCCCTTGCCCTTCCCCTCCCTCTCCTCCCTCCTTCTTCTCTCCCTTACCCTCTCCTCCCTCCCTTGCCCTCCCCCTCCCCTCCTTCTCCTCTCCTTCCCCTCCCCTCCCCGCCTCTCTGCCCCTCTCTCTCTCCTCCCCTCCCTCTCTCCCCTGCCCCTCCCCCTTCCTCTCTCCCCTTCCCCCCTCTCTCCCTCTCTCCCTTCTCTCTCCCCCTTCTCCTCCTCACACCCAAGACAAGGAGGATGAAGACCTTTATGATAATGGACTCCCACTTCATGAATAGTATATATATTTTCTCTTCCTTATGATTTTCTTAGTTACATTTTTCTTTTCTCTAGCTTTATTATAAGAATACAGTATGTAATACATAAAACACACAACATATCATGTTACTGGTACGACTTCTGGTCAACAGTAGGCTATTAGTAAAGTTTTGGGAAGTCAAAAAATACACACGGATCTTTGACAGCTCAGTAGGTCGGCGTTCCTAACCCCCTCGTTGTTCAAGGGTCAGCTGTATTGAATTCAGCATATTTGGGCACTGATGTTTGCCGTATCTTTCTAAAATGTCCTTACTTATCCTTCTTTCCCTGTTAGCATTTTGGAATCATTTGTCTTATGTCTTTGGATTTATTTCAACTGGAAAAAAGACTTACTCATGTTTTCTTTCAAACACAATCCGTTTATTTTAGAGAAATCAGAAGGCATGAATAAGCATAAGAAATAATAAAGATATTATAAAAATAAATAAATTGAGGGAACCTGAGCTCTTTGGGATACGTTTTAAAATTCCGACGCTGCTGCTTACTAATGAGTTTATCTCAACAAGTTGCTCGAACTCCCTGAACCCTGGTTTTCTCATCTGTGAAATGGGGGTGATGCTACCACTGGCTTATTTTGAGAATTAAATGAGGTGCTACATGAGCATATGCAATGCAGCCTTTGGTGCAATGCTAGGGCCCTATGAGCGTTTGGAAATGGGAGCTGTTGTGAGCATGGGTAGTAACCCGCCTGCCCTCCCAGCTGCGGCTTCTTCAGTCTTGAGTTCCTGAACATTCCGATCCATCGTTTGATGTTTAGGGTCTCACATTTGAGCAATAATCTTCCCCAGGGAGTGTCCCCGGGTGATGCGTTTTCAGAGTCCTTGCGTGAAGTTCGTCACGCCCACCTGTTACCTATCACAGGAGCAACAGCTCGGCTGGGCAAAGCCTTCCAGTCACGACGTGTTTCTCTTCAAAGCTCTGACAGGTGTTGCTCCTTGTCTTCTGGCTTCAGTGTCATGGAAGCAAACAGCACGGCCAAACTGAGTTTATTCCTCCGGGTAACTTGATATTCTTTTGCTTGCACATTGAAGACTTTTCAGTCATCTTTAAAGAGTGAAAATGTTATATATTCTAGCACAGATGAAATCTGCCTGGAACACTGTGTCTAATCACTTTTTAGGCTCAGATATTTCTCTAGATAGAAGCATATTTGTCATTATTTCTATCCTAATCCTAGGAATTTCGATCCTGTGATCATATACAAGCTGCTTCTCCCCAGATTTTCATCAGCATCTGTTTCTCTCTGTCCCTCTTGGCCTTTTCCCTTTGAGTTATGAGTAAACTTTTTTTGGTTGGTTTTCTAGAGCTTGCTATTCAGTGCTTCTTTTTTTCTTTTTCTTTTCTTGAGAGATGATCTTGCTCTGTCTCCCAGGCTGGAGTACGGTATCATGATCATAGCTCACTGCAGCCTCAAACTCCTGGGCTCGAGTGATCCTCCCACCTTGGCCTTCCAAAGTGCTGGGATTACAGCTGTGAGCCACTGCACCTGGCCCTTTAGTATGTCTTGAGGTGGAGTCTTATGTGGGACCCCAGTGCACAAAGATGACCAAAGTGAATTTGCCCTGGTGGAAAGGTCTGGTCATGCCCACCCCCAGCTCATTGGAAGATCCCTTAGTCCTCTGCAGAGAACAGCTGGAGAGCCTCGAGGGTCACTTGTCACCTGTTAAACGCTAATTTGTTAGAGAAGGGAGCTTGCTTATGTTGTTTTTGCCATCATAATGGTAGCTGTCCTTTTGCCAGTCAAGATTCCTTCATTAACCAGTTGAACAAAAATAAAGATCTATTCAGTGGGTTTAGCACCAAGTAAGATAACCACACTGGCTTGCGGTATATCACTGTGATTCTCTGTTTCCTCTAAGAACAAAGTGGTCCAAGAGCCAGATTTTACAGCGTCAAACTCTGAGTATCCAACTTTCTTCTGATGGACCTTTTCCTATGCCACACCTGCCACCTGTGTCCCAGTCTGCTCACCTGGAAGCATCTCCTGGCTCTCAGAAGGCCAGGGAGCATCAGAGTCCACTTTCTCAAATGTTACTGACTCCAGCGAGAACTTGGAATAAAACCAGAAAGAAAGGCGTGTTAGTAGGAAGACGTGTGGAGTGACAGCAGCATTTGAGACCCTAAATCAGCACAGATTCAGGTCTGTCTGCTTCCCTGACCAGAGAGCCCTCTTTTGGGTCTTTGGCCTTTCCAAGTTATGTTGAGCCTTTGTCTCTTGTATGGTGAGGGCAGAGTCTCTTTTGAAATGAGGTTGGAGCGGCTCACGGGAATCTCGCCTAAGTAAAAGGCACCACCAAGGTGTGGTCTCATAGTCACTGGTTAGTAAGCTGGAGACAGCCGGCTTGCCTGGGTCACGAGGTTGGAAGGGAAATTTCTTTCCCAGTCTTGCCTCTTAGTAATTACATGTCAATATTGTTTTCTAGGTACTTGGGTTGTATTAGTACTAAAACAAAGATCTATGGCCTTCTATAACTATTACTATAACAAGGTGAGATAGTTAACATAGTAAGTGCATTATAGTTTGTGTTGGAAGTTGGTTAGTGCCATAAAAAACAAAAAGTGCAACAGGGCAGAGGAGATGGTAGAGTGTTAGAGAAAGGAGTTGGCATTTTAAATAGAGGAGGCAGGGAGGGCCTCACTGAGATGTGATTGCATCTGAGTCCGTCATGCAGTTAGTTTTCCAGTCATGCACTCTGGGAAAGAGTGAGTCTTCCAGGCAGAGGGAACAACCAGTGCAAAGGCCCCGAGGCAGGGCTAGCTGGGAGCCCAGAGCAGCTGCAGCAGGGTGGTGAGCAGGAGGGAGAGGAGAGCAAGGTGGGGGCAGGGAGGTCAGCTCTGCCATTAGCTGGAATGTGGAGGCATTGTAAGGATTTTCGTTTTTGCTCTGTGGGTGATGAATTGTTACAGGCTTTTAAACAGGGAGCACATGACTTGAGCTTTGGAAGCTTCTCTCTAGGTGCCGCATTGAGAAGGGACTTAGGAGGGATGAGGCAGGAAGCAGGGAGGCCAGGTGCCGAGGCCACTGCAGAATCCAGGGCAAAGACAATGGTGGCACAGACCAGGGTGGTGAGAAGAGATGCCATCCCGGGGTTTGCTGAGGGATTTCACGTGGGGCTTGAAAGAGAGGGGCAGTTAAGGACCCCAGAGGTTTCGGGGCTGCCCAGCTGCGAGGATGGAGTTGCCATCCGCGGAGAGGAGGAAGGCTGCAGCTGGGACGGAACCCAGGGTTCAGCGTTGGACCGTGAGGCTTGGTTGCCGGGAGACATTCAGGTGGAGAGGCTGGCCAGACAGCTGGATACGTGATCGGAGCTGGGGAGCAGAGTCTGGTGAGGGGTGCAAATTTGTGAATCGTTGGTGCATGGATGTTACCTAAACCCATGACTGGACGGAGCCATCAGGAGTCTAAATACAAAACAGATGCGTCTCCAGAGGCCCTACTGCGGCGCGTTCCCCGGGTCTCCAGCTTCTACTCCAGTCTGGGGAGAAGTTAACTCGCTCCCAGGTACTGCCGGGCGGCTTCCTGCGCTTTGATGAGAACCATTTCAAGAGCCTCTTTGGGGCCAGCTTCCCTTTGAGAAGGTCTTTTCTTCGGCATTGTCCTTTGTGGCTTATTAAAAATTTAACTAGAGTTTTGACATTCCCCGAGACTCTGGGTTTTCAGATAGACTTTTCACAATGGCTGAATGGATAATGGATTTTTGTGAAGTTTTTCATCTTCGCCGGTTCGGTTTTGTACGTGCCGGGGATGACATTTTGTTAGAGCTCTTTTTAACGCGGAAGGAAAAAGGCAGGCCTGTTAATGAGTCTCCTGTCTCCTGGCGGTTTCTGGAGTGCGAGGGCACACCCGTGGGCGTATGCGCACATCCGGGGCACTTGGGTTAATATTTGACACACATGTGCCAGGGCAGATGCGCCCTTAAGCGGCTGTGGTTTGTGGTCCTCCTGTGACTCCAGTGCTAGGAGTGGACCCTCTCAAACGGGAATGTCGTACACTTGTCCTGGTCCCTTCAGGGTGCTGTGACAAAACGCCATAGACTGAGTGGCTTTACAAACAACAGAAATTTATTTTTAACCCTTCTGGAAGCTAGAAGTCCAACACCGGGGGCAGCGTGGTCAGGTTTGGGCGATGGCCCTTTTCTGGGTTTGAGATGTCTGTTGTCTTGTGGTATCCTTACCTGTTGGAGAGAGAGAGGGCACGAGAAGTCTCTAGGAGT